ACACACACACACACACACAACACACACACCACACACTAGAGGCCCGGTGCATGAAATTTGTGCACTGGTGGGGTCCCTAGTGCACAAATTCCCCACCTCCCCACCTCCTCCTTCCCTCGCCACCCACATCTGCCACCACCCACCCCAGGTTCCCCAATCAGGCCATTGGGACTTGCTGGTGCAGGGGAAGGACCAGGAGGTTGGCTGGCAGGGGGGAGGGAACAACTGCCACTGCAGCAGGAGGGCGGCTGGCCAATCGGGGCCTGCCGGACAGGGGGAGGGACACGGGAGGTTGTCCGCTGGCCCCAAGGAGGGAGCTGGCCCTTGGCCCCCTGGGAAAGGGGCTGCATCTGCTGCCACCCACCCCCGGTTTCCAACTTTGTTCTTTGTTCTCAAGATTGCTGTGGCTATTGGGATGTTCTGTGGTACCATACAAACTTTTGGAATATTTGTGCTAGTTCTGTGCAATATGCCATTGCTATCTTGATAGGAATTGCTAAATATATTGATTGCTTTGGGTAGTATGGGTATTTCCTTTCTTTTTATAATATGTTTTTATTGATTTCAGGGAGGAAAGGAGAAGGAGAGAGATATATAATTATCAATGATGAAAGATTTTAATCCTAATAATCTGGATTCAAAGTCTGTTCTCTTAATCACTATAGTGTCTTTCACATTTCATAAATAACTTATCTGTGCCCTTCTTTTCTTGTGTGGTGTCACATTTTCTATTACCCTAAAGGAGCCAATATCTTCCTGAGCTTTTCTTTCCTTACTATTAAACCTACTCTCAGCCCTAGCCGGTTTTGCTCAGTGGATAGAGCATCGGCCTGTGGACTGATGAGTCCAGGGTTCAATTTTGGCCAAGGGCACATGCCCAGGTTGCAGGCTCGATTCCCAGGAGGCGTGCAGGAGGCAGCCGATCAATGATTCTCTCTCATCATTGATGTTTCTATATCTCTCTCTCCCTCTCCCTTCCTCTCTGAAATCAATAAAACTATATTTAAAAATAAAACCTACTCTCAGAAAAGAGCTAATACATATGCTCATTCATTCATTTACATCAAGGAATAAATGACTGATATGGTTTAATATAAAATAATTCTACTTCAGGGTTGAGTTTACGTTGGGACACGGGGAACATTAAGGGGCCATAAAACGTTAACCAAAAACCTTGGTGAAATTGGAAGTATATATGGGCATGGGAGAACAAGTTAATTGGTACATGGCATTCTGTGCCCTCAAATTATACCATTATTTAGTTGGCCCAAGCCTTGTAGAAATGAACATAAATGTGGAATGGAAAGAATAAGAGATACATCTTTATTATATTGATTAAATTATTTTAGAAATACCCTATTATTCCCCTAATTCATTGTCAAGAGTTCTGATATAACCCCAAGAGACATAGCCCCAGGGGAAAGCTTTAACTTGGACCATCATAGGTGAAAGAGATAATCCCACCTAGGGTTTAAGTGTTTATGCATTTACATATGAATCAAGGTAGAGCCAAGGATTGATTTTTGTTCCTAAGAAATAAAACCCTCTCATGTGGGTGTATGATTATTTGCTCTAGGAATCTTAAACCTAGGACTGTTACCCTAGTGCAGTGATTTTCAACCTTTTCAGCTCATGGCCACAAACTACTAAACATCTGCAGCACATTGAAAGATACATTTTTTGCCTCTCTGACAAAAAAAAAAATAAGTGTGATTTTTGATTCATTCACACTGGACAGCTATTGTGGTGGCTGTTGTCATTTTTTTATTTGACAATAAGGGGAAAGAGGTCAATGCCTCTGACTAAATAGTCAGATATTGCATATTTTGAAAAATTCTTGTGGCACACCAGTTGGAAGAATCACTGCCCTAGAGTTATTTTTTATACCTTTCTTATTATTATTCCACATCAGTCAGTCAGTCATTTCTTTCTATCTAGTTTCTCATGTATTTCTATCTAGTTTAGTCCAATGAACTCTATTGAATGCCTGCTTTATGCCAGATACTGTGCTCTGGGCATATAAGTACTCCTATCTTAAATTTCTAATTTTCTAGGAGAGAATATAGCATGATTCAAGCAATCATAGAAGTGTGTTTCAGTAGCAGTATACAAGAGGAATTACTTTGTTAGGGAAGCCAGAAAGAGTTGCAAAGGATATGATGCTTGAATAGGGTTTTAAAGAATAGATAGGAGTTCTTCAGAATAATGATAGAGTAGCAACATATGCTAGCTAGAGGGCAAAGCATACACAAAGACATGGAACCATAGCACAGTGTGACCTGGCAGCCATAGTAATAGCACTATAGAATAGATGAAGTTTGAGTCAAAGGGTGGTGAAAATTATGTTTTTGCTTTTTTTATTGTCAAGAGCTTTATATGCCTAGGCCGTGGTCGGCAAACTGCGGCTCGCGAGCCACATGCGGCTCTTTGGCCCCTTGAGTATGGCTCTTCCTAAGCCTTAAGAGTACCCTAATTAAGTTAATATATGTACCTATATAGTTTAAGTTTAAAAAATTTGGCTCTCAAAAGAAATTTCAATCGTTGTACTGTTGATATTTGGCTCTGTTGACTAAGGAGTTTGCCGACCACTGGCCCTAGAGTATCAACTTGTTTTTCTCCATGTCTGTGATTATTGAAGGCTTAGTCTTTTTCAGTACTCTGCTAAGTCATACATATGTACCAAACCTTTAGACTTTAGCCACTGTTATCTTGACAACTAAGCATTTGTATATAGCATGTGTTCTTAATCTTCAACCCTCCACGATAGGAACTGATATCTTAGTATAGTAGAAGGAGGAATGACAACTTTCACTTGTATCTACATGGTCATATAGGTTTCATAATCAGATTTGCATATAATAACTTTGAAAAAATTTTAGAATTAAAGGACTAATATGAAAATAATGTTAGTACAATAATGCAATTTACTATACAAAATAATTTAATTCCATTAAAAAGTGTCTTTTTTCTGCTCTCTAGTCATGCGATAGCACTATATTGAAAAATGCACAATGGAAGAAAACAGGAAGAGGATACCTCCCTTCCATATCTGAGAGAAAATACTTAAATGTATACTCATGCAATGTCTGGCTTTAGTCAGCTCTCTAAGACAGTAAAATTATAGGAAAGTGTTCATTTAGTTTCTTCTGTTCATCATAAAATTTGAAAGCATAAACACAAAGGAAGACGCGTTGTTAAAGAATATACTGCTTTAGCCCCAGCCAGTATGGCTCAGTGGTTAAAACATCGGCCTGCACACTGAAGGGTCATGGGTTCTATTCCCAGTCAAGGGCAGGTACCTGGGTTGCAAGTTTGATCCCAGGCCCCACTCGGGGCTTGTGGAGGCAATCAATTGATATGTCTCTCTCACATCGATATCTCTCTTTCTCTTTTTCTCTCTTCCACTCTCTCAAAAAAAATCAATGGAAAAAATATCCTCTGGTGAGAACTAACAAAACAAAAAAGAATATACTGCTTTAAAATAAAGTTATGTAGAAAATAATATCAAAGCAAACTGATTCTTATGTTAATCTGTAACTTTTTTAAGGATGCTGGACAGTTTTATGCTAAATACAAAGAAACAAGACTGAAGGAAAAGGAAGATGCATTGACTAGAGCTGAACTTGAAACACTTCAAAGTGAGTTTTAAACATTGTCTTACTGTGTTAACAAAATCATATAAAATTGAAGTTTGAATTTTCTCTTAAATTCAGTAGTAATTAAATTTTCTATGTCTTCTTTGCCACCCTCTATATAGTTAGTTGTCCTTAATGTATAATATGTGGGAAATACTGTATTAGTAATTATTGAGCCCTCCACAGTTTAATGTCAGAAGGAGAGAGAAAATCAACATGGGTCATATAGTTCCTCAAGTCTAGGAGGCATCCAGAATCTGGAAATCCTAAAATACTCCAGTGCTGAAATTGTCATTGATACAATATTATGTGCCAAGTCTATCCAGTTATCACCCAACTTGCTGTATTACAATAGTAAGTGGGAAACCTGGAAAATCAATCGCTTTTGTTTTGAAAGTTTTGTTTCATTTGTATTAGTGTTATATAATATGAAAAACCTTGACTACATTATCAGCATGTTGAAGTCTTCCACTGAACATTAAAGACAGTTATTGCTGATTTTAGAAGTGGAACATAAAAGGCATTTTCCCCATTTTCTTTTTTGTCTGGTTGTTGAAATAGTTTCAATTAAATTGAATAAATAAAACTAAATGTAATTTTTATTAAGTAAAATGTTTACATAAAAGTGTTCTAAGCCTTTTAAGACTAGTCAAAATGTGCCTTTACATTCCTTTATTTTTGTTAAGAGCATTTAACAATATTTAGCATTAATTTATTTATTACTGTTGTTTACCATCTGGTTCCCCCAATAAAATATAAGTTTCGGGTCTATTGTTTCTATTAAAGTCCCTGGGACACAGTAGGTGCTCAATAAGTACTTGACTGAATTCATGGAGGTGAAATCTCTTATTTTAAAAATTCCAATGTATTTTTGGTTCAGACTCCATTCCCTTCACAGATCTGGGTTCCTAGAAAAGTACATGGTGTACCCAGTACCAATCTGGGCACAGAAGACAATGCAAAGATTACTTTGCACCTATAAATGAATGCACTTGATAGCATGCATAGTTTTATAAAATGATTTGTGTACTTTTGAGGATATGCAGTAAAAGTTTTTCTGCAGCATATAGTAGTAATTTAGCCAAATCAACCTAGAGATGAGCAACTGTGGTATTAGTATACCACACATTTAATATACAGAAAAGTGGTGTTAGCTATTTCCCTTCATATACTGAAAGTCCTAGCTACTGCCTTCACCCTGACATCAGACCAAGGTTTAAAACAGATAAGAATTATGTTATCTTCACACCCAAAAGTGCATTGCCACTACCTACTAGTAAATGTGTGCCTTTGAGGATTTTAGTTTTCTGATCTGTCCAAAAAAAACATGTTGGACTAGATTACCCCAGTGTTAGTTTTCTATTGCTACTCTAACAAATGGCTACAAATTAAAGGGCTTAAACACAAATTTATTATATTAGAGTTGTGTGGGTCAGAAGTCTGACCTGGATCTCACTTGCCTAAAATCAAGGTTTATCAAGCAGGACTGCATTCCTTTTCCAGCTTCTAGAGACCTCCCACATTCCTTGGATCCTGGCCCTTCCTCCATCTTCAAAGCCAGCAATGGTTCATCTCTTACTGTTCTTCTAGTGTCACATCTCTGCCTGAACATAACTGGGAAAGGTTCTCTGTTTTTAAGGACCCATGTGATTAGATGAGGTCACCTTGGAGAATTCAGGATAATCTCCTTTCTCTAGGTGTTCAGTCATAATCACATCTGCAAAGTCCCTTTTCCCTTGTAAAGTGAAATATTCCCAGCTTCCGGGGATTAGAATATGGTCATATTTAGGGGACCATTTTTTTTTTTTTGCCTATCAGAATTCTTCAAATGTCTGGGAAGCTTTAGCTTTAGCACAGGGACTAGTTTTTTGTTTTTCCGGGTTTTTTTGTCTGCAGGATTGAATACAGTGTCCTGGCACATAGTGAATGTTTAGCAGATGGATGAGTAAATGAATATCTGAATTAATGTAATGTCATGAATATTAATGAGTGTCATGTGAGCACCTAGTCTATACAGAACTCAGATTCAGGAGCATGTAATTTAATTCAAAAGTTTTGAACAATTACAAGTACAAACTAATATTCAAATCAGCTATATAACTAAGTCAGATTTCCATTAAGAGGAAAATTTTTAGGATGAGGGAGGATTACATATTAAGATTGACTAATGTGTGTGTGTTGGGGGAGTAAGTGTGGACAAATGATTATTATTGTCATATTAAACCTAAGATTGAAATAGAAGCTGATGTTATAGCAGATGTTGAAATAGTTTCAGTTAAATTGAATAAATCAATGAATAAATGAAACTAAATGTAATTTTTATATAATTGTTATAAAATTGTTACATAAAATTTTCTAAGCCTTTTAAAACTAGTTAGTCAAAGGAGGGGAGAAATCACATTTTCTATAAGAAAAGAGAAAAATATTAAACTAACTCTTTGATATGTAAATGGCATATAACATTAGTTTTCTTTGTACCATATAATGATTCAATATATGTATATATTGCAACGTGATCGCAACAGTAAGTCTAATTAATATCCATCATATTGTAACTGCTACAAATGTTTTTTGTTGTGATGAGAACTCTTAAGATTGATTCTCTTAGCAACTTTTTAATATATAATACAGTATTATTAACAATAGTCATCATGCTGTCCATTTTATCCCCAGAATTTATTTATTTATAACACAACTTATTTTTATGTAGTTTTTGTAACAAGCCATTTATTTTAGCATATATGAATTCTCTCATAATAATGGATTAAGTATGTACACTAAAATTCTTTGAAAATAGGGGTTAAACATAAAGTATTTACCATAATACAGAAACTTCCTTTTGAAGTTTATGACTATTTTTCCAAATATGTAGACCATTTGCATTTAATGTAATTATTGATATGTTAAGGCTTAAGTCTGCCATTTTAATTTTTGTTTTCTCTTTGTTCTCTCTCTTTTTCATTTCCCTGTTTTCTTTTTCCTGATTCTTTGTGGGTTATTTGAATATTTTTTTTTTAGAATTCTATTTGGATTTACTTATAGTTTTTTAGTGTATCACTTTGTATAACGTTTTTGGTGGGTGCTCTAGGTATATGTTAAATATACATAACTTATACATCTACTGTTGTCCACAGTTTACCATTTCAAGTGATATGTAGAAACATTTCCTCCCTTTACATTCATTTACCTTTCCCACTTATAATTGTCTTATGTATTTTCTTTACATACATTGAATGTTATTGTAATTCGGTTGTCAAGCATAACTTAAAAAACTGTAGAGGAGGAGGAAAATCTATTGTGTTAACCCATATTTTTATATTTCTCTTGTTTTTTCTTTCTTCCTATTGTTTAAAATTTTTTTTTATGACTTCCTTTCTTTTTGGAGAATTTCCTTTAGTCATTATCAGACAGGTCTCCTGATAACAAATTTTCTTAATTTTCCTTCACCTACAATTATCTTGGTTTTTCCTTTATTCCTGAAGGATATTTTCACCAGACACAGAATTTTTTTTTAACTAAAACCTCTTTTTTTAATGTACTTTTTCATTGATTTTTAGAGACAGGAAGGGAGAGAGAAACATCGACCAGCTGCCTCCTACACTCCCCCTACTGGGGATTGAGCCTGCAACCTGGGCTTGTGCCCTGACTCTAAATCGAACCAGTGACCTCATGGTTCCTGAGTCGATGCTCAACCACTGAGTCACACTGGCTGGGCTCACTAGATACAGAATTTTTTTAAAATATATTTTTATTGATTTCAGAGAGGAAGGGAGAGGGAGAGAGAAATAGAAACATCAATGATAAGAGTGAATCATTGATCGGCTGCCTCCTGCATGTCCCCAACTGAGGATTGAGCCCACAACCTGGGCATGTGCCCTTGACCAGAATCGAACCTGGGACTCTACCGTCTGCAGGCTGAGGCTCTATCCAGTGAGCCAAACCGGCCAGGCTAGATACAGAATTTTAAGTTGACAGTTCTATACTTTCAGCACTTGAAAATGTTGTGCCACTTCCCTCTGGCTACATGTGTTTGGATACAAATTCTATTGTCATTTGAATTGCTTTTCCTTTACAGGTAAGGTTTCATTTCTCTCTTGCTACTTTTAAGATATTTTTCTTTTTCCTTTTTTTCAGAAGTTTGATTTTCATTATTTATGCATGGATTTCTTTACATGTATTTTGATTGAGATTCATTAAGCTTCTTGAATCTGTAGGGTTGTATCTTTTGCCAGCTTTAGCAAACTTTCAGGCAATATTTCTTTGAATCCTCTTTTAGTCCTGCCCTCTTTTTCTCTTTCAGGAATTTTGTGACATGAATGTTGGATCTTTTATTATATTCCCAAAAGTCCCCAAGGCTTTTTAGTGGGTGCTCTGATCTTTCTTTCTTTCTTTCTTTCTTCCTTCCTTCCTTCCTTCCTTCTTTCCTTCCTTCCTTCCTTCCTCTCTCTCTCTCTCTCTCTCTCTCTCTCTCAATCTGCTTTCTCTGTTTTTCAGATTGGGTAATTTATTATTCTATCGTCAAATTCACTGATTGTTCTCTCTGCTTCATTTTTCTGTCGAGTGCCTATTCATTGTTTTTAATTTCAGTTAATATACCTTTCAGTTCTTATATTTCTATTTGGTTCTTTATGTCTCGTATTTTTTTTCTGTTGACTTTTTATTTCTTTACTTATTTTAAGAGTGTTTCTTATTGCTTGTCAAAACATTTTCATAATGGCTGCTTTAAAATCCTAGTCAGATCATTTGGGTATCTTTTTCATCTTGTTGGCATCTGTTAATTTTCTTTTCATTCAAATTGAGATACTCTTGATGAGATTTTTTATTAAAACTTGTACATTTGGGACATTATAAGACTCTGGGTCTTATTTAATCTGTTCTTTTTCCTAATGTTCTCTGACAAAGCTCTAGTAGAAGAAGGACAAGGTTGCTGCCCTGTTATGGTCAGGTAGGGGTGGGAGTCCAGGTTCCCTTCATGGCCTGTATTACAGCTGAGGGAGAGAGGAGTTGTGAATACTCTCAGGATTGGGTGGGTATGGGTGTTCCTGCTTGTCAGTAGGCCTCCACTGATAACACCCTGGCTGGGATAGGCAAGAATGTCTACTTACTGCTCCCCGCCCGCCTGGCTTCTGAAATGGGGCGGGGACCGGGGGAGAAGGGGGTTACCTCATTGCTGCTGGGCAGCTGTGAAAGCCCTGAGTGTCCTCTCTGCTTCCTCTGAAACCATCCTGGAAGGGCAGGGTAGGGACACCTCATTATCCTTGGATGGATGTGGAAATCCAGGCTACCCACTTGTTCTCTACTGACTCTACAGGGAAAGGTGGTCCTCATTACCTCTCAGCAGGGATGAAAGTCTGGCTTCCTACACCTTCTACCTCACCCTGGAGGGGAGACTGTGGTGCCTTGTTGCAGCCTCACAGTGGCAGAAGTCTAGGCTTCCCATTAGCCTTGCTGGCATAGGGTTTTGTCAGTTCTTTTTACCTGAAGTAGATTGGCTATTATCTAAAAGTTTTGTTTTGGTTGTTTTTTTTTCTTTTCTTAATTTCCTTTTTCTTTTTTTTGGCGGGGGTGCGGGGGAGTCTGGGATGTATGAGGCAAAAAAACAAACACCTCACACAACTCACCACCTTGGTGTTCATTGAGTCCTGCCATACCTAGCTGGTCTGTCTTCTCTCCAGTATTCAGAATCATGTTGTTGTTTGTTTCATACAAAAAATTTAGGACTAAAAAAAAAAAAATTAAGACTTTTAGTTTTTCTTAGTGGGATGACTGTGGAAAAGTATTTCTCCATTTTTCCAGAACTAGAAGTTTTGTACTACTTTTTTAAAGTGATTTTTAAATGCTTATTTAAAAAGACATCAAACACTTGTAATGGTGATGAAACACCCCAGAAATAAATACAAACAACCAGATTTATTTACTTCTTTTTTATAAGTGCTTCTCTATAAGCAGACAAAATTAGTTCTCATGAGATGGTTTCTTGTTTATGTGGGCTGTCCCTTAGCAGTACTTTGTACAAAATAAAATTAAAAAAATGAGAGAAGCTGAGTAATGTGACAGGCTTCATGTGGAGTCATTTTTATGGCTTCTTCTTTTCTAAAAATGTTTTCAAAAACAAAAAACCTAGCCCTGGCCGGTTTGGCTCAATGGATAGAATGGCAGCGTGCAGACTGAAGGGTCCCCGGTTCAATTCTGGTCAAGGGCACATCCCTGCGTTGCAGGCTTGATCCCCAGTAGGGGGCATGCAGGCGGCAGCCGATCAGTGATTCTCTCTCATCATTGATGTTTCTATCTCTCCCTCTTCCTTCCCTTCCTCTTTGAAATCAATAAAAATATATTTTTTTAAAACAAAACAACCTGGCCTTCTATTTAGGCTTGTATGGTACTCTGGTGATACTATATGTGATTGTTGATATGTTTGTAGCAAATTCACATGTCATTTAAGTTACTAATTTCCTGTTATGGTGTGAGGGTTTGTTGTGGGTTTTTTTTTAAGTCAGCAACCTAAAAGCCTGCAAATATTAAGGTATTAAAACAATCCTCTATACTAATAAAAGGGTAATATGCTAATTAGACCGGGAGACCTTCCAGATGTCCTTCTGGACAAAGCCATGGTGGCAGGGCCGAGGCAGAGGCAGTTAGGGGTGATCAGACCAGGAGGAAA